AAATTTTCATTTGAGGGGCACCTGCTTACCTCTTTAGTTTCGTCTTACTCCTTCTCCATGTACTTTAAGCTCCAGTCATAAAAAAACAATTTATGTTTTCCCACATGTGTTTTCCTTTGTGCCTAGGACTATTTATGCACACCGTTTCCTCCACTTAAAACAGTCTCCCCACCCCCACCCTTCACTTGATGAGTTGCTGCTCCTCCTTGTCCTAACGAGTTAGCTTAGATGTTCCTTCTCGTGGGAATCTTCGCCATCTATGAAGTCTGCAGTCAATACAGCTGCCGTGTGCCAGTGGTAGCCCCTGTCACCCTTTATCATAAGCCCTTAACTCCTTTTATTGCGATCACCCGTTTCCCTCCAAAGCGCCCCCACCAAAAAAAAAAAAATGAAGTTTCTTGAGGAACTTGGTTCACCATCATTTCCTTAGCACCAGCATAGTGTCTCACGCGTAGTAGGCACTTCGTTTACACATTTTGAATGAATGAAATAATGGCAGCGGTTGTATTGCATTTCGAAGAATCAGATGCGCAGTCAAAGCTGTACTCAAAAGAAAATTAATAGCCTTAAAATCTTTTAACTTTAAAATAAGCAAATTAGACGTTAACTCAAAGATTTTAAAATGTCTGTGTAAGATAGAAATAGAAGGAAATATTTTTGATTTGATAACAACTATCAGAAACCAAAATAAACATTATTCTTAAGGGTAAAACATTAGTAATATTCCCTTTAAAGCTGTCAACGACAGATATGCCTGCTAAACTGTTAATACTCAGCATTGTTCTAGAGATATTAGTTAATACAATGCAATAGTTAATAGAAATCATAGGTTTAAATGCTGTAAAAGAAAAGGTGAAATTAACATTATGTGCAGTTACAGTCGTTTAGCTTAAAACACAATCGAGAGTTCTTGAAAATAATAAAGTTTGGTAAGATGACTAGATACAAGATAAATATATGTGTTCATAGTCTTTCTAATTGTCAGCAATAAACAACTATAAAATACGTGTTTCAAGAACCTGCTTACTGTGGCAGTAAAAACTATTAAATGCCTAGGGATAAATTTATGGAGAAACATGTAAGACCTACCACCTACATGTGGTTGAGAAATCTGTTCTAGAATATACTGTGTGGGTGTCCATCTTGGCTCCAGTGTTTACTGGCTGTTGACCTTAGGAAAGTTTAATCTCTCTTTTGTGTGTGTATTTGTAGAAGAAACAACTAAAGACCTATACACATGTGGTTAGCGCTGCTCTGGGTATTTAGGTCCCGGGGTGAGTTTGACTTGATGGGCTTCCTCATCTTTAAGAAAGAGGCTGGAAGTAACTGTGAAAATCAAAGTGTCACTGTGTTTGTGGAGCATGCGTTTTGCTGACTGTGTGGCGCGTCACAAACGTCGTGCTTATAGTGGTAACGTCTCTTTTTTTGTTGGAAAGGCTTGCCCTGTCTGCCACAGTCTCTCTAACCAGAGCCCTGCAGGAGTAGAGGACATCCTCAGAAGTCTGGGATGCCCCAGCTCTTAACCAAATGAGTCTGAGTTTTGCATTCTACAACCCCCAAAATGCTAAGGCTTCTCAAGATCTAGGGGAAGAAATTCTTTCCTCATGTTCCCCTTGGTGTCCGGAGATGTTACTTAAAGTCCCGGCACCTCCCAACATCGACCCAGACTTGAAAGTCAACATTTGGTTTTGTTCCTTGAAGTTATCCTCTTTTACAAAAGCATTAATGAACGAAACCTATTTCGCCGAAGGAGGAACGTTTATATTCATCCTGAAGGAAGAACATGTCATGGCACGTAAACAGCGAACAGCATAAAGACCCATATTAGATATTTTTGTTTCCCAAAGACTTCTTTATGACACCTGAGCACTGGGATTTGCTGTCTCTGCCTCCACATTCACCGGATTTCACTGCTCCTCCTTCCGCCTCCCCCTTCCCCAGACAGAGAAACCTCATCCTTTTGGGGTCCGGCTCCTTGACTCGTATACATAGGCCGATCAGGTGCTCACTACACCAAAGCCCTTTGCTTCATGAGGATGTTCCACCTGCTGTAGGAAAGCTATACAAGTAGAAATAGCCATTTTCCCCACCACATGGGATTAAATCCATTTGCTGACTATGGTCAACCTGCTGAGTGGTATTTGTCATCTGGTTCTGTGGCCCTGCTCTTAAAGGAATCTGCCTTTGTCGTATTTGTTTTTATTCCAAAGGTGTCCCTCAGCCTACTGTTTCTTGGGTGAAGAGAGGAGGACCTCTGAGTGACAATATTTCCTTGCTTTTCAATGGATCCCTGTTGTTGCAGAGTGTTTCTCTTGAAAACGAAGGGACCTACGTCTGCACAGCCACCAATGCTCTTGGAGAGGCCGTGGCTTCGTCCGTACTGCGCTTGCTGGGTAGGTGTCCAGTCCTGGTCGTTTTCCAGGTGCGTCCCATCAGATGCACCGAGCAGGGCCACCCAGTGTGTTGGTTCTGGAGTTGAGGAGTCAGCAAGATAGACACGCGGTGGTTTTAGGCTTTGCCGCCACGGTCCTCTTCCACACGGGCACTGAGTCCAACACTCTGTCCTAACGATTCTTCTCTTAGAAGGTTGTGACTTTCTGCCTAAGAACC